CTCTATTACCCGTTTCAAGGAACGTACTTATTTCAGAAACACCCTGTATATAACCGTACTATTTATTTTTTTAAGATTATAAAATTTTTCATTTGTAGATTTGGAAGAAACACAATACTTTGGGTAGAAACATGTAGAAACTTTACTTAATGCAGAAAAAATAATTTGACAGCGTCATATCTAACTGTACCAATTTTTTTCTATTATATTTTGTCAGTTTCAAACCGCATTTATTTAATGAAACAATATATTTTTTGTTTGTGTACAATTAAATACTTTTTCCTAGTATAAAAACTGTAAGAATAAACCCACAGTTTTTTTTTAACATATTTGCGATTTTCTTTAATTTTCAATACATTTTTTAAATAACCATCAAGGGAAATGCAGAAACGAACTTGATGAGGTTTAATCCGTGGGATTTCCCATTGAAAGCACCACAGAGTTTCTCCATCTCGACATGGAATATCTAACAACTTCAAATGGTTTCAAAGCAGCCCCTTTAGGACAACTACGAAAAAAAAAAACAGTGTAATTAGCGATTGGTTTTCTAGCACTCAGACAAGAAACTTACCATTCAGCCACTTGTTCATAAATATCCTTCAACCGTAAATTTATCCCACTTTGACAAAGCTTCTTCAGTTCTACTAAAAAGTCGTACACATTTTTCTCGTTTACATCCGGGGGGTGATTATGCTCGCTAAGAACGAAAAATTCTGAGGAGCTAAGGGGTTGGACCGCCCTCGCTTTACATCCCATCTTTTTCAGCTGGCAACATCGCAAATATCTTGAAATAACACACTTGAGAATACGCATTTTGATATGAAATAGATAACGTACCTTTTGGGTGGATTCCCTTTTATGTAACTGGTGCAGTAGCCATAGCCTTTAATGCAGATTTTACCCAAAATTATTCTCTTCTTACCTGAAGAAAGGAGCGTATTAATAAAATGATATACAAATAAAAATACCACTTAGAACCTGGTACCCATAAATACTTCTTTTCTATAGAATGGATAAATAAACAAAAACACATTGATCTGTAAAAATGCACAAAAATATGTTAATGACGCACAAAACAACTACTCTGCGGACTACAGCTCCAACCATCATTGACTTACACCCGTCCTATCTGGTAAACAGCTATTGGATTTGAAAATAGAAATCGGTCCATGTCTAGTGACTCTGCTACCTAATGATCCTAGATGTTTACGATATCGAGGTTGTAATTCAATGCTGAATGAAGCAGTAGTCGTCCGCAGAGTAGTTATTCCCACAATATAATTAGTTAAAAACTTAATTTCGTCTAGTGTGATACTAGACATACTTTCTCGTTCTCTGCCAGTAGTTATAAAATAATGTTTTGTACCAGTAAGCATTGTGTAGTAATATCACGTATTTGTAGGTTATCTCACCCACACAAAAAAATTACTTGAAAACATGAACGCGTCGTTTTCTGTAACTTCTATGAGTCTGGAAAATTTATATTTAAAGGCTCACAATATTTTAGAAAGCTCAGACTTCGGCTCACAATATTTTGAGAAAACTCAGCCTTTTTAAGTCCTATGTTTATCTTAATATGAAGAAACAAAACTATTTTTTTTTATCAAAGGAAGGTTATTGTATTAAAAGTTCTCTTTGGTACTTCAACAAAAATTGTAAAATGTAAGAAATATACAATATTAAAAACAAGTTTTATTAAAACTGCAATAATGTTACAAAAACATGACGAACCCATAATTACCATCATTCAAAATGAAATAATATAAACAATGAATGCTGAACACGTTAAATTGCTATATTTTTCAACCGTTTCCTAAACCGTTTTATAGAAGTCTCGACACTTTTAAAAGGAAATAGTTCTTCCGTCTCCGGATACCTACAATGAAAAAAAAACATTAATATTTCAATCTGTATTCAACATAATAAAACGATTTGATTGCAGGCTTACTTGGCAGTTGTCAATTGTTGAACAATTTTCGAACTGGTTGCCATATCATCGGTTTAGGGTTCTTGGCGTTTCGAGAGACACACCGTACTCTTCCTCAGAAGCTACAAATCTGAAACTTTATATTAAGACCTCTGGCCGGTATTATATTTGCTGTGCACACTGGCCCTTGGCATTTCAATGCAAGGGTACATCTCAATCTTTAATTTTTACATGTATGTCGTTTCACAATTCCAGGTAGTTCTTTTTTTAGATGACCTTTGTGTTCCTTTAACCTCATGTTAACATGAATCTTTGTTTTATCCAATCCTTTTCCATATGCAGACTCTACAGAGAAGCAAAAGAAATCCCAAAAAATTGAAATAATTGTGATTTCAAACTAAGCGTCGGAACGCAGAAACAAGCAAATGTAAGCACCAACCAAAGGACTTAATTCCCAATTTCAGAGTTTGTTCTGAAGAAGACAGAAGACAGTCTTTCGAAACGTTTGAGCCTAAATTGAAATTGTTCAACAAAACCAAATGGACTTACACGGATACGACGCTGTTGTACACTTGGGAAGGTTTTCCAGGCAAAGTCATAGCGAACTGCTTAAGGACTTTCCAGATTTCCGCTTTTTTCTCTAGCATGTAATCTGGAGGATGAGAATGGTCTTTAGTCAACACCAGTTCATCGTGTCCACCTCCTTGAGGAATGTACGCGCGTGCTCTGCAGTTGCTGCTTCGACGGCAAGAGCAGGAGAAATACCTAAGAGATTACAAAAAATTAAAAAGATAAAATATATTTTAAATAAACTTTGTCAAACTTACGTCTTTTCTGCGCTCCGATATGCTATGGAGTAAGAATACCCTTCGTGAAAGAAGCAACTCCTTTTCTGTTGCAATAACCCAAATCCTAAAAAAATTATAATTAGTAAGGGCGACTTATAATAAATATTGATTTTATACAATTTGTTGCTCTTCAAAAATGTATACATCTAAAAGGATAAGAATTGAAATTACTACGACAAGCTTTTCATTAACACCAAATTAAACTGTATTACAGAACACTAATTTTTAGAATTATATATCTGGAACTGAATTCTCTTTCTATTATAACGCACTAGCACATTTTTTTTCAAGACCATTGTTTTGCGATCACTTCTCCAGTTTTGTTAAACACGAGCATTAAATAGTACAATAGATTATTTTTTTAAACCAAAACACCGCTTTTAAGTTTTTATTAACATATGAATGATTTGACTCCATTAGATGAAGTAACATGTTCCAAAAAATTTGAATTCTTGTTCTGATGAAGTTATCAGTCTCATTTTTTCCGTTATTCGCAGTGAAGATGTTTCGGAAAGCGAACCATGTTTAGAACAGATCTCGATTCTCTAAATTGAAGATCATACGCCACAATATTTTTTTTAATTTGACCAAACGTTTTGAGCTACAATTCAACTCAGGAATTTAGGATAAAAATAAATTATAAAACCTTTAATAATAATATATCTTATAATTTAATAAATTATTTTACAATCAAACCCAACATAGTATATAATCAACATGATTTAGTACATCATCTCATGACCTTTCTTGCCTTTTCTGGAATAATTCCTGATCTGTTCGCGTACCTCCTCAAATGGAACCAATTGGGCAACATCCTTGTACCTATATACGAAATCAATATACTTTCTTCTTATTTTTTTTTACCAACTCACTTACATTTCCGACACAAGCTGATAAATCTCTGAAGGCGATCGGTCATACATTAGCTGAGCGGTTTCATTCAGAGCCTTGCGGAACTTCATTCTACTCTGCAGTGTGAAATCTGGAGGGTGATTGTGAACTCCATTTCTTCTAAGCGATTCATTTGAATGAATTATAGCCGTAGCGCGACACTGCAGAGCTTTATATTTGGCACATTTTAAGTACCTTAAACGAAATTAGAACTTTAAAAATTAAATAACCTTTACAGGAACCATATAAGTACAAAATTCTGAGATACTTTGCTTTCTTAACGAATTAATGCAACTTTTTCATGTAAAATTTCTGTTCGACTATTAAATTTTGGTTGCTGGAATTACCTCACATTTGACGAAGTTTTGTTTGTAAAATAAGAAAATCCATCCACGTAGAGTACATTCCTTGAACGTTTATTGGTCGCGTGCTTCGTTAAGGAGTTTTCTATTAACACGTTTAGTGTTAACTCATCTTCATCTTTGTGGAGTTCTACAAAAGAATTCTAATTTTTTTATCAATCACCAAATTTTATAAAACGGCAGTAAATAATTCATGGCTGATCATAAAAATACTTCAAATTGTTTTAAATGCACATAGACTGACAATTTTAAAAAAAATATATTTGTGTGTTAAAGTTGATTTAGGTACCTAATCCAGAAGAGTAATCTAATAAATAATATGAAATATTACTTTCCTTCAATCAAAACACATATCTCTTCGTCATTCCTTCACAAGGAAAACACATGAAACAAAAGTAAATGAAAGGCAGCAATATTTTTCTAAAATAAGTTTAATAACCTGTACAAAACAAACATTTGACATAAATAACAAACATAATTTATAACATATAAAGATTTACATGCAAAATGGTTTACTCCCCTGGAGTTATTTTCCTTCTGTCAATGTCGCCCCAATATCGCATCCTACGTGCCACGGACCTATATGGATACAGTCTCGCCATTTCTGGAAATCTACAACATTAATTCAAACAGCTTTCCTTCTTCATCAAACATCCTATTGATACATACCCTTCGGCAACTATACTGTAGATCTTCTTCAGTGGATAGTAGTCCATCACGTCAACAGCTTTTTTCAGCTGATCCAAGAACTTCTCATACTGAACTTCCAATTCATCAGGAGGGTGACTATGCTGGACGATACACTTCAGCCTGTTCGCATCGGGAATTCCATCCTCCAAAGTAATAACGTAGGAGGCCTTACAATTTAGGTTATTGCTCACAGCACACCGTAAATATCTACAACGCAAACCATAGAGAAATAATAGAAAATTTGACATAACTTACAACTTGTTTTTAAACTGTTTTTGTTTAAAGTAAAGAAATCCATCGTTAAAGTCCAGCTTTGAGTGTCTCTTGTGAGCTTTTGAAAACGATTCATTCTGATCTAAAATAAACGAGATGATTGTATTTATTACGATCGAATCAAAGTACTAATCCTTATATAATTTGTAGGTATAGGTACTAACAATCAACAGAACTGTTAACAAATGTAGGGCTGATGGAATATGACATAATCTCTAGGTTTTCGAGAATTACATAGACCAGAAATGAATACCAATTTTAGAGTCGAAAGTATTATAAAAATATGTATCTGGTTCTTACCTAGCTTGGTTAATCAGTGCTATATGCTTTGATTGACTGTTATTAGGTTGAAAATCATATAAGACTAAATGGATTATTAAACTCTGAATTATTTACAAAGCACTTTAATAAAAAAGCAATATAACTGCACAAAAGACAGGTACAATATTATGTACGATTTTCCTTCAGCTTTTTCAGCCAACGATGCATTCTGGGAACAACACTTTGATAACTATAAACCCTCGCGACATCTGGGAAACTAAAAGCAGGAAATATAAAATAATAACCTGACATATGAAACCATTAACTTACGATTGCGCTACGAAGTTATAAATATCGCGAGTTGTTCCGGACATTACTTCAACCGCTTTCAGCAGTTCGCCCAAGAACTTTTCAGTTCTAACAGCCAGTTCATTTGGGGGATGGTTGTGTGGAGTAATACATCTCATATTTTCTGTATTATAACTTCCATCGCTATTAACTGGCACTGCATAGGATCCTTTGCAACCTGTTTCGTACTTCATAGCACACCTTACATATCTAGAAGTAAAGCATTTTTTAACTGAACAACTGCAAAGGACCCCGCACTGTCTTTATGAAAATGTGAACAAAACCAACAAGGTTTTGTGTTACCTACACAGTTCTGCTGATGATGGCTGCAAAGTAGGATGAGTAGAATATTGCAATAAAAACAGTAACTTTTGTGAAAAGGTTGCTAATTAATATTTTTGACATGTGCCAAATACCAAATTGGCCGTTGGCAAAGTAGTTGTATACTCCAGTCGGCAGAGGCCGAAAAGTTACTGTTGGTGACATTTTCTTGATAACTCGGAAATAACTACACAGGTCTACTTTAAATGATGAGTATAATAACAGGCTAATTTGCTGACAAAGTATTTTATCAGGAAAAAAGTTATTAACAATTTAATCGTGAAAAAAAATTTTTTTTAGTAGTTTTCTTTAAATAACTCAGCGGGATGACTTTGTACGCAAAAATGCTTAGGACATGATTTTGTTCGTAATAAAAATAGCTCCAAAATGGCGGTGGTCCGATTACGAAATTTGCAATAACAAAGCCGTGAGATTGAAAAAACGGTTTAAAACGCCAATTTTTTTAAGTTGCTGTAAAAATGTCAATTATTAACAAAAAGTGATAAAACTTTCGAAAACTATAGTTCAATATATATGCAATAATGACGCTAAAGCCGAAAATCAGGATAGCAAAACTTTTTGTTCTATAAGGTGTTATACATTCATCGACATCTGAAACTCGAAACTTTGCCAAATTTGTTCGAAGCTTTGCTGACACTTGAAATTTGGTGCACACATAGTGTAAATATGCAGAAACTAAAAGCAATTTGCAAAATTCAAGTATCTTCATTTTTGCAGTTTTGGTAAGGTTTTGTACGTCACCCTAGTTTTATACGTCACAGTTTTTTAAATTTTTGGACGTATATTTATGTATATTTATAAAATATTCCATTACGGTAGATTAGCCAGCATAATTACCTACAATTTAAAAAAATATATATTTTCATCGTTTAGATCCTAAGCTACTTAACATTTTGCGCCTGTTAGCCGTAGTCGTACATTATTCAACATATTAACATAAAACAAAATCGTACGTGTGGGGTAAACCTTTAACTTTAAGTAAACAATTGTTTAAATTTACTGTTGCATATTTCTAATAGTATACAAGCGCCAAAGAGCGGAGCTCGCGCTCGAAAATGAAAAGTTAAAGGTTTACCCCACACGTACGATTTTGTTTTATGTTAATATGTTAAATAATGTACGACTACGGCTAACAGGCGCAAAATTTGAAGTAGCTTAGAATCTAAACGATGAAAATATATATTTTTTTAAATTGTAGGTAATTATGCTGGCTAATCTACCGTAATGGAATATTTTATAAATATACATGAATATACGTCCAAAAATTAAAAAAACTGTGACGTATAAAACTAGGGTGACGTATAAAACCTTACCAAAACTGCAAATATGAAGATACTTGAATTTTGCAAATTGCTTTTGATTTCTGCATATTTACACTATGTGTCTACCAAATTTCAAGTGTCAGCAAAGCTTCGAACAAATTTGGCAGTTTCGAGTTTCAGATGCCCATAAATGTATAACACCTTATAGAACTAAAAGTTTTGCTCTCCTGATTTTCGGCTTTAGCGTTATTATTGTATATATATTGAACTATAGTTTTCGAAAGTTTTATCACTTTTTGTTTATAATCGACATTTTTACAGCAACTAAAAAAAATTGGCGTTTTATACCGTTTTTTCAATCAAACGGCTTTGTTATTGCAAATTTCGTAATCGGACCACCGCCATTTTGAAGCTATTTTTATTACGAACAAAATCATGTCCTAAGCATTTTTTCGTACAAAATCATCCCGCTGAGTTATTAAAAGAAAACTACTAAAAAAAAATTTTTTCACCATTAAATTGTTAATAACTTATTTTCCTGATAAAATACTTTGTCAGCAAATTAGCCAGTTATTGTACTCATCATTTAAAGTAGACCTGTGTAATTATTTCCGGGTTATCAAGGTTTGACACACGCCGAACCTCTACCAACTGGACTAGTAGTGTGTAGATTGCATTCATACATCTCTCAATTAAATGCAATAATAGGTTTGTTTCTGCAGCTCTATCAAACTGTCTTCAAACTATCAGATATACTCCGCCACTTAAGTTGTCACATACTTTCAGCGAGTTTAAGGTCACGAATCAATTGGTCAAACATCTTTGATAGTTTCAAATTGGTCCTCAACTGCTGCAGAAACGCAGCTAATGCTAATATATCAGCAGAACTGACTCGGACCGCTAGAGTAGGAAATAATTGAATTTCGGATCCAAGTATTGTGGAGACTTTTGGTTAGGAACACCAAACCAACAGCTTTTCAGAATTTCAGCCAATATGACCGAGCCCACATTTTCACCAGAGACAGCGGTTTTTTAGTATCTTTGAAAATTATAATATTTTCTCTTCAATTAATCTCAATTATCTTTTAATTATTAAATCACTCCTAATCCGGTTTAATACAAATATATTGCAATGTTGAATTACCTACTTAGGATTTACTCACAATTTTTGAGGTGTACATTGTATCTTTTTAACATACAAAAATCCATCCCCAAAATCTAACTTTCCTGCCCTTCCTAGCGGTATCTGAGGCTTCTGATACCCATATTTTGCGTAGCCAGATTTCTTTTTTCGCTGGTCTTCTAAAATAAATTTACATTTATTTCAACTGACTTGATGGCTATATAAGTTAGAAAAAAACAAGCAATTTTTTTGGAAATTTTATCTTATAATTTACCTTCATATTATTTCAACTTTTGAGTATTAAGCTCAACTAGAAATGCTAATACAAACGTAAACACGTTATTGCTAGTAAGATTACACATGCGATTTTTTTAAAGCGAAATATTCGGTGACATTATAGGTTAAAGTGAAAAAGTTTAATGACCTTTATTGAAAATATTGACCTGTTACTTGTTGAAACTTCATTATTTATTTAAATACTGAGAACAAAATAAAAACACTTATTTCAACTTCAATTAAATATATTTTTTTAGTTGTGGCTACTTACAAACTCCGCTTGAGACTTTTTATATAAAAATGAAATGTTAGATGTTTTTTGTTAACAAAATATGTAATTACAATGTTATCTATGCTGACTTAAAGTTCCCGATTTCTTCTCCACCTATGCAAAGAGGAACAAATTGATCTAAATGGTATTTCTTCAGCTCCTTTTGGAAAACTGTAACAAAAAGAGAACTCTACTGACTCTTTGCAAAATTATGGCAACAGTTTCATATTTTGATGATGTTCATGTTACGAATTCGAAAATGCTTAGAATCTTGTCATTAAATTTTTTTACCATTTTCAAAAATGAACTTTATTTATTTTCATGTATTTAACAACAAAATTCTCAAGTTAATCATAAATTAATAACAACTAATACCTAACGGCCATTTCTCGCATGTTATAGAAGGCATTGGAGAACACCGAGTAAAATTATTAGCGTGTGCCTATATGGATAACCGTTGAAATACACAGCAGACTTCGAAAAAGATATACATATCTTTTATTTTTGAGAACTGCTTTATCCCACATTATTAAAAAAAATGTAAATGATGGGGACATTAAAGTTACATTAAAAAAAATATGAACAAATTTTCCCTATTTCTGTAAATGCAATTATTACTTCTAAATTAGAAATAACCTCTATGTACAAGTACTAGCATTCCAAATTTCATTTAAATCAACATTACAAACAATTAAAAAGTGAAGAATCTAAAATGAGACGGCAAACTTTGACGCCCTTTTACGCCTAAACACTTTGGATAAATGCAAGTTTAGCTAAATAATAATCTTATTTTGACCTCTAGAATCTATAGCAAGGGTCGGCAAGTAATTTTAGGTAGGGTCCGGATACTTTTGAAATTTTTTAACGAGGTCCAGAAAAAAATTCATATTTCTTACTAATTTTTTATTTTCATTTGCATTAAGAACTCAAATCAGTCACAATTGTAAAATACTAGAAAAAATGATAAGGGTGGCACTCAAACGTAAAAAAATATTTTTTAAATAATTTATTTGGGTAATTTATATTTTCAAAAAATTTTTGGCGGTCCAGTATTTTACCTTCCGCGGTCCGGATCTGGACCGCGGTCCGCCAGTTGCCGACCCTTGATCTATAGTAATTCCTTCCATGTACACGGAATATTGGACTTCCTGTGGATAAAATGAATTGGTGGGAATAAATCAGGTCAAAATTAGGTAAGTATTTGAACTTTTCTTTGATAGGTAATATTTAGTCAGTGTTTGTTTCTTTTCTTATTTGACACAAGCCCTGAAATTAAATTATCTGTGTATCATACAGTCTTGCATTATATTTGCAAACATGTTCAAATTCAGATTAAATGTACCTATTTATTTATTAATATAATTGTCTCACGTCACATTATAAAAGACAAAACAAAGAAAGTGCAACAAAAAAGATGTGTTATCTTTTGTATCATTTTCTTTCAAATTTTCAATTCAAACAGATTTGGTATGCAGGGTGTTTGTAAATAAGTGCCAAAGATTTTATCGGGTGGTTGCCGAAGTTATTTTGTGAAAAAAAGTTCATATAAACGTAGATCGAAATATGCTTCGGTTCCGAGAAACAGATATTTTAAATTTTAATTTTTTATTTATTTTTATTACTTATTTCAAAAAGTTTTAAAGATATTGACTCGAAATTAGAAAAACGCTTTGGAGGAATAAATGTGCATTTTTTGGGGCGATCCGAATATTTCTGCTTTCACCAGTGGCGTTCGTGCGAGAATGCCACAACCTTTTTTAATAAAAAAAAATTGTACGCCAGACCTTTTCCCGTTTTGATATTTTTTTAAAAATCCGCCATTGATTCTGAATGAAATTTGTCTCTTCAATTTTTTTCGTAAGTTGCACCGTCTTTGAGGAAAAAAATAAAACATATTTTATTGTAGGTTTTGTTAATCTTTTATTTAAAGGTGCAAGTTGAAATATTCGGATCACCCCAAATGTACATTTATCCCTGCAAAGCATTCTTCAAATTGAAATTGAAATAATTAATAAAAATGAAAAAAATAAAATTTAAAGACTGTATCTCTACAACGAAGCATATTTCGACCTACGCTTATGATTTGTTTTTCACAAAATAACTTCGGCAACCACCCCCTAAAATATTTCGAACTTATTTACGTACACCCTGTATATCTTTTAATTTAAGAAAAATGTAAATAGAAATCTAGCGATTTCGGGAGCAAAATTATTACATGTTCCGACAGCATTTTTATTTCTTGTTACGGATATGTTAGTTAGGTGCATTTAAACATTTTCAATTATTGCAACTGAACAAAAATATATTTTGCAGTTGGTAACTGTTATTGTAATAAAATTTATAATAAGACCTGCTCACGCACATTGTTAATTTATGCAATAGAGTTTAAAGTTTCTAATATTTAAGGAAAAACTAGGGTGCAGTGATCTCAAAAGTTACAAGAAAAATAAATGCATGATTGAAGAACGCTTACCGCTGTATAACTTTTTTACAACGTAAGCAACTTTGCTTTTTTTTATTTTACCATTTTCCAAACTTCCATAGTTGTTTTTTCTTTAAATAAATCACTTGTACGTCTTAAAATATTGTTTCAAACCCGTAGGAAGTTGAAGTTTGGTGTTTTCGATGTATCTAATAGTCAATATATTATTTGGATCTGTTCTTGGGCTCCTACCGTTAAACATTTTTATCAATGATATAACCAATTGCTTAGATATTAGTTACATTCTCTATGTTGATGACCTGAATATATTCTCAACCATTGAGAACATCGAGGGTTGTATACGTTCTCAAAATAATTTAATTCAAATTGACAACTGGTGCCAATTGAATAGACTTCCTATGAATGCTGAGAAGTGTACCTAACATAAATAATATCTTACATCCGTTTGGTCTCCCAACTATAATTCATTTGTACACAATTTCAAAGCAATAATATAAAGTTTGTTAAATATTTAAATTTTAAAATAGATGGTGTCTTTCCACTTAGGTACCTACTGATTTTCCACAATCCGACTTATTAGATAGATATTCATTGAAAAGTTTTGATTTAAGGTGCCAGGGTGTACACTGCCGGCCCTTTGAAAGTGGACGATTTATTTTTCCAATGTGATGTGGTCTACTTTTTATTATGACAAGTTTTTATATGTCAGTGTCATTAGTAATTTGCTTGGTAATTCAAGATGCCGCGTTTAACGGAACCAGAGAAAGTGAGAGCTATAACTTTACTTCAGAATGATTGGTCATTGCGGATGATCTGCATGTATGCAAGAACAGCATATTTAAACTCAAAGAAAAATGGATTGCGGAGGGTCACGTACGTTATGTTCACGGAAGTGGACGTCGAAAAGTAAGAACCACCTAAGAATAAATCCTTTTGGCATGGCAGTAGCGGCTTCCTTTGAGACGAATTTTACTGGATCAGCGGGAACTGCAAGGAAGCGGGTGAAATATTCGGAGCTGAAGAATTATGTGGCCGCAAATACAGTTGCTTCGACTCCCCAGTATAAAGAACAGAGGTTAGAGTTTGCAAGACAATTTGTAGGAAGTCCAGACAACTTCTGGGAGAATATTATATTTTCGGACGAAAAAAGTTTTCAGTCTTGCTCCGATGCTTCTGTCCGTGTCTACCCACCAGAGATTATGAGGTATTCGGAGCCTTATGTGAAACCCACACAGCGCAGCGATAGATTCTCCATTAACGTTTGGGCTTGGATAAGCTGCCAAAGTCCTGATGTTTGTTGTGACCATGCTGAATCCTCAGAATTTCACTTTCAAGCAGGATAATTGTGCAAATCACACCTCAAGAGTTGCGTCAGAATGGTTCATTGATAACAACATCGATGTTTTACCTGGGCCCTCAAAATCCTGGGGATATATGGTGAAAAACTTTGGGAGGCAATTGAAAACGCATGGGGAACTGAGGATTATAACAAGAACATTAATTTTATCAATGCCATGTAGATTGCAGTGTTATAGACAAGAATGGTGCTTGGACAAAATACTAACTTTACGAATCGCGTTTTTTTGACGACAAAAAGTGTTTCATTTTTAGATCTCGTTGACGGCGAATGAATGGCCGTTAGAATGTATAATATATTTCAGTATTGGAAAAATAAATAATTTGCTACCTAATTTGGATTTGTTTTGCTCACTAGAACTAGTATAATAGACACATTAAATTTGACATAATGACCCGATTTGAACCTCACATTTTCAAGTCGGCTTCACAAACGCCAATTATAGACAATTTGCTTATAAGAGTCGTCCACTTTCAAAGGGCCGGCACTGTACTATTTAAAATTTTGAATAACCAAATTGACTGTCCAGAACTTTTGCATCATCTTAATTTTTACGTTACGATGGTCAATAAAGGAAAACACTTTATATTTCTACGCCACGTATAATATTTAAATATTCATTATTTACACAGTGTGTAGTTATTGGAATTTATTAGACAATCAGACATTTTTAATTGCAGCGCTACCAAAATAAAATCACTGTATTTTAGCTGATTCGTTTGTATACTATTTTTTTAATTAAATTTTTAACTATTAATTCTGTCTTTGTTTTATTGTATCCATTTTTTTTAATGTTTCTTTTAATTTTTTTCTCGGTAGGTACTCTCCTGTT